GGACGAGCCACTCCAAGCACCTATACCGACCAAGCCACTCCAAGCACCTTTACCGACCAAGCCATTCGAAGCACATGTACCGACCGAGCTTTTCCATGCACCTACCGACCAAGCCAATCCAAACGCCTACCGATCGAGCCACACCAAGCACCTCCCCAACGAGTCACTCCAAGTTCCTACCAACCGAGCCACTCCAAACACCCATACCGACAAGGCTACTCCAAGCACCTATACCGGCAGAGCCACTCAAAGCACCTATACCGACAGGGCCACTCCAAGTTCCGACCCACCGAGCCACTCCAAGCACCTACCTACCGAGCCACTCCAAGCACATACCCACCGAGTTACTCCAAGAACCTACCCAATGAGCACCTCCAAGCACCAACCCACCATGCCACTCCAAAGTCTCCAAGCACCTACCCACCGAGCCACTCCAAGCACCTGTACCGGCCAAGCCACTCCAAGCACCTATACCGACCAAGCCACTCCAAACACATGTAGTGACCGACCCATTCCAAGCACCTACTGACCGAGCCACTTGAAGCACCTACCAACCGAGCCACTCAAAACACCTCCTCAGCAAGCCACTCCAAGTTCTTACCGATCGAGCCACTCCAAGCACCTATACAAATTGTGCCACTCCAAGCACCTACCCACCAATTCACTCCAACCACCTACCGACTGAGCCACTCCAAGCATCTACCGACCGAGCCACTCCAAGCACCTACCGAGCGAGGTTCTTAAAGCACCTACCGACCGAGCAATTTGAAGCACCTACTGATCAAGCACTCGAAGCACTTGTTGACCGAGGCGCTCCCAACAATTCACTCGAAGCACCTACCGAACAAGCCACTCCAAGAACCTCTACCCACCGAGGCACTCCGAGCACCTACCGACCCAGCCACTCCAAACACCTTCCCACAAAGCCACTCCAAGCACCTGACGACCGAGTCACTCCAAGCACCTACCTGCCGAGCCACTCCAAACACCTAGCGACTAGGCCACTCCAAGCATCTATCGATCGAGCCACTCCAAGCACCTACCGACCGAGCCACTCCAAGCACCTTAAGCCA